CAGGGCAAGGTTTCCCTCAGAGCCCAAGGTCACCAGTGGGAAAAACTCAGGCCCCCGTCTGGGGCGGGAGGGGCCGGGGGGGTCAAGCAGGGCCCCGGGTCTCCCCAGGTCTGCCAGGATATACTGCCTGCCGAGCTGGCTTCGTGTCGTGTTCGAGGTTTTAAGCCACTTGGGCAATGGTTTTACACCGGGCAAGAGAAGGCATCTCTCCCTTCGGCCCTTTCACAGCGGTGTGTTTGATGCATTGCCACATTATGTTTACAATAGACCCACTAGGGTTTATGGCATCTGATTGTCAGTGGTCCCCTCTGGGTTCTCTACCTCTTTTTGCAGCATCATTACTATCTCATTGACTTACTGTTTGGGGCTCTGGGACTGCAGAGCTTTGACACAATATATCTTCTCTTTTTTCCTCTTTTTTTTTTTTTTTTTAAAGTTTTCCACTAACCTACACAAATCCAACTCAGGTAGAAGACAGTTACATATGTAGAATTGCATCATTTCTAAAAAGTAGCTTCCTTTCTCTCCTTCTCTCCCAAAATCCAGGAGGGGGAAAACATGAATGAGGTAAAGGAGGCTCTAAGAAACATAGAGCAGAACTACAAGCTTTTCCTGCAGCAGCAGTTTACATTTATTGGAGCACTGCAACACACCCGAGAGAATGCACATGACATGATCAGACCTGTGGCAAGCATCAGCCAGGTACAAGTATTCAGCACAAAGTTCTCTGCCGATGAGAACAGGGACCAACGCAGTGCTGTCACGCACTTGGGTCTAGTTCCGGGATGAAGAAATGTTTTTACTAAGGGAAGATGCACAAAAACTCTCTAGTAACATTTGTGTATAACTCTGCAAACCAGTGGCAAAAGATTAAGTAGGGGAGAGAAATACCTATGTTAGGTCTTCCCATTTACAGAGAAGAAATTTTATTGCTGAGCATCACTTTATGATTTAGTTTAAGGCCGTCATTTCGCTGCTGAGACATAGCTAGAAATACAGGGTACAAGAAAACAATCAAACCAACCCTCCTTCCCCAGCCACACATGGAATCTGTAATCCTTAACTTGTAGTAACCAGCATGCTTGCCTCTTCCCCCTGGTATTGGTGCTGCTGTATCTTTCTATAGTGCTTATTAAAAATAATGGCAGTGTTACAGAGGTAGGATGATGGATTGAGGGCTGAAAGTCCCAAGTGGGCTAGGGGTTTTCTGGGCTGGTAAGTGAATTGTCTTGGAATTTTTATAACATGGGATGTTTTAAGTAGTGCAAAGAACTTAGACCACCTGCAGACAGAGGGGGAAGAAAAACCTAAATAAAATTAGAATTGTGGATTTGAGACAGCAGAAACCAGGCACAAAACCCAGATGGATGCCAAAGCCAGAGTGAAAGCCAAGCTGTTATTAGGATTAGGACACAGAAGTGAGCTGGTTGTCTTTTCTAGGGGCTGACTCTCTATAATATAAGGGCTTTGCTTGTAACATTGAAGAGGATCACAACAGACATTACGCTAAACCATTTTTTTCCAAAAATAGGCATTGAGATTTTGTATAACATTATGCTGCTTTTCAAAGTGCCAATATTTCAGTGGTACTGAGCAAGCTTAGACACAGCTTCTTGGCAGAGGTAGAAGGCCTGCTTGTTGTGGGGGTGAAACCTTGTAGGTAACGACTTCAGCAATTACATTGATCCATGGCATCATGTGTGATACAGTAACATAGAATCATTTAGGTTGGAAAAGACCTTTAAGATCGAGTCCAACACCGCCATGCCACTAAACCATGTCCTGAAGTGCCTTGTCTACGTGTTTTTTTAACACCTCCAGGGATGATGACCCCACCACTTCCCTGGGCAGCCTGTTCCGATGCCTGACAACCCTTTCAGTAAAGAAATTTTTTCTAATATCCAATCTAAACCTCTCCTGAATGTGAACTTAGAGGCAGCAAACTGTACTGCACACATAGCACTGAGGGTATAACCGTGTTACCCCAGGGGGAGGATGGGAAAGGGAAAAGAGTTAGTTACTGGGGAGAACAGGGAGCAATTGGTGCAGTACATAGTAGTGATGCTTTGTGCAGGAACTGAACCACTACACACCAAAGAAAGTTCACCGGGGACAAAACCAGACATCCATTTTGTTTCACTGCCATTCTCCTGATTCAGCCCAACCCTATTTTTAATTTTGCATGGGAGGGCACAAGAATAAAAGCAACAAATGCAGAAATATGCGTGGTCTCAGTCCACAGCTGACTTGACTGCCAGCTTTCTTTGCATGTAAACACAGACACCACAGAAAAAAATGATACTGCACTTGAACGTGGCTGCATTTCTAACCCCTAAAAGCTGTACATGGTAGCATTTTTAGTGTTGAGTGATGACGTTTCTCAGAGAAAAGAGGAGATCACAGTAAGGTGGAAAGGTGGAAGAGCGCACCACAGTCAGGCAATGGTAACAGCTCCTTAAAGACTTCTACATGGAGTAGAGTATAAAGTCAAATCCCAAGTGATTTTGTGAGACAAGCTCCTCAGTCATTGCTTCAGCCAGAGATTCAAATCACCCAGTGAGTCCTGGCACTGCAGAGCCTGGCTGTGGTCACGACATCAGCCCAGCGTAGGGGCTGTCCATGTGAACTCCCCTGGCTGCAGCTCAACTGCTCATCAGCAGTTGGCTAATGCAGAGCTGGGCAGCCCTTGCAAGCCATCATTCTGTAGTCCTGGTCCCCATCCTGGTTACGCAGGTGCATTAACTCTGTCGTTGATGTGGACAAAAAGAAGTCCTGTTAGCCCACTGGTGAACATCCAGGCTAAAATGCTATTCTCTTTAGGACTATTCTGCTCCCAGCAGCAATGAAAACTCCTGCCATTCACAAGGACACAACGCTCAGCAAACAGTGTGGAAGGAAGAAGCTCTAGTGGAAATGGACCCTTAGGGGCCACTTTTTATTTTTCCTACAAACCTGCTGAGAATTTGCCCAAGCACATAGCATGGCTTTTCTGTATGCAGAAACCGTACCAATGTTGGAACAGCTACTTCGTTCTTGTCTTGAAATCTTAGAGAAAGCACTGAAGGTGTTAGAGTCCAGCTTAGACTGCCAACCAGCTGCTCAGTATTTTATATTCTGACCACTCATGTCTGAAGTGCCTGGAATTTCTTTGGAGAAGATACTTAATCTCCTGGCATAACGCTTCCTCATGCAATGCCATTCACTCTGAGTAACAAAAATGCTCAAGGCAAGTAGGGAATATCATTGCTGTAACAGGTTAGTAAGGACAATTAAGTTAAATGGGTTTAGTTTGCAGTCACATCTAGTGGTGCCAAATAAAGAACCATGAAGAATGCATGTACGTGCAAACACATCCACACTGCTACTCCAAACCAGGCCCACTTTGGTCATTGCCCTCACCTCCCACCCCACTCTGCCTAAGTGGCCGTGGCAGTGGCAGAGGGTGCGCTGCTCAGAGCAGACAGAAAACTCCGCTCACGCTCAACCTGTTTCTGCAGTGCTTGCAGCAGAGCTGTGGTTTTGGCTGCAGTACTCCTACACTTTCTTCAAAGAGGGAGGAATGCTCACTGGTGTGCTGACAACTGGATCCATCACCCCAGCCTTCTTCAGTCATGATGAATGACAAGCAAAGATCTCAGGCATGCGCTAGAAATCTTACTACCTGCCACTGTATTGCCGTTTCCATAGTGGCTCACACCTGCAGAGTCACAAGAGAAAGCAGCTTCTCGTCACTAATTTATGCTGCAAAGAAGTTAAATGTAATTTAACATGCATGACACTGTCTTTCCCCATGTTGCACTCTACAGGTACAGTCCTACATGGAGCATCACTGTAACAATTCCACCGACAGGCGTATCCTCAACATGTTCCTAAACATCTGCAATGATCTAAGCAAGCTCTGCCACAAGCTGGAAACCGTGCATTCTGGTAACAACATAACCAATGGCATTTTGGAGAGATGCAAGCTGCTCCTTAGCCACAGCAATGACCTGAGCACCATCCGAGCTAAGTAAGTCCATCAGCTTAGTTTCTTTGAGGCAACTGTCAATGCCGGAGGACTGTCACAAGAATGCATATTCCCACTTGACTTCTCCATCAATTCCGTTACAACATCTTTGTGGCTTTAGTGAGGGTACAAGGTGCTACCCAGTTTACTATTCCAGTTGTTGGGAAAACACTGCCAGCCTCAATTCACAAAAAGGGGTTTTGTTTGTTTATTCATTCTTTTTACTAGTGCATGGAAAGGCATATACAGGCAGGTTAGTATGCTGAAATCCCATGCAATGCCCAGGCAGTTCACCTCCTCCTTCCTCCTATTCCTGCCCTGCACGTAGCTGATTTCTGTGGGGCAAGTGCCTGTACATGCTCTTGAACTCTTCCAGATCTAGCCCAACAGCCAGGATAGTGTGTTTGGCAGGACTCGCTTCTCAAGATCCAATTCTATCTGTGCCTTTCTGTTTTGGGGAAATGGCTGGCTGTGCATTTCTGCTCTTCCCAGGGGATCTCAGGGTGGCACTGTGGGCTCACCAGGGTTGCATGTCTGGGACTACTCTGCCCATTGTTTTCTTCTGTCCCACAGATACCCCCACGATGTTGTGAATCACCTGAGCTGTGATGAAGCAAAGAATCACTATGGAGGTGTGGTGAGCCTCATCCCCATCGTTCTAGACTGCATGAAGGAGTGGGTAGCCCACATTGAGAAGCTGCCCATGCTGTATGATGTGAGTGGTGGAAGTGCTATCTCTGAGAAGAGGGCACCCCAGGATGCACCAGCTAGGGCAGCCACTTCCCAAACACCACTTTCTGTGCGCCTTGAAGCTCAGACCTCAGCTAGTAACAAAGATAATGTACAAGTGCAGGGGAGTAAGCATATCCAAAAGAAAAACCTAAATGACACAAAAAATCACAGTGGGAAGCTTAAAGGTCCCTGGAAGCCACCAGGTAGACACGCCTTTTAAAGGATCAAAGTTCATGCATCTTCTGCTTACCACCTTTAATCAGGTGGCTGATTAAGGATAGTGAAATGAATACTAGAGATCCTTCCTATCCGAGTCCACTTTCTGAAGAGTTAGCCCTGTAAGCCAGCCTTGGACAGGTACATACTCTCTCCCTTGCTGACATTTCCACTCTCCTCGAAGTTGTTTCCCAACAGAAGTACCTGTAGCACTTGTGCTCATCCCTTTGACCAGCACTGTGGTGAGAGCAGGGAACAGTCAGGAATAATCAGGTTTTAATCGCTCAGATACGAATCTTGGGGAAGCTACTTGAAATGGGATTTTACACTTTCTCAGACTTCTGAGGAACACCCATTCACTCACCAAAGCCAGAGGTGTAAAGAACCTGCATGTCTGAAGGACATGATGCAGAGCAGCAAAGGTCTCTCGTTATGGATTCAGACTTGTCCCTAAGGTTTCCTCACCCCCACTGAAATTGCCTGGTTATTTGGACCAAAGAATCAAAGTTGACGACACTAATTATGTCTCCCTTACAGACCACTGGCTACAGAAAAGGTCAGAGTGCTTTAGCTGCACCGACTGTCCTCTCCTGCATCCTTCTTACAGGTTCTCACACCATTGCCAGTACCCCCTACTCAGAACATCTTCCCTTACACCTGTTTCACTCCTTTGCTGTCAGAGCTAGAGATGAAGTTTGTTCTCCTTTACCTTTTGCACTTAGTTTGGTGTGCTGACAATACCCAAACTTGAATAAACCACCCCTGTCCTCCCCAGAGCTCTTTGTTAGCAAAACTAACGAAGTCATTTCCAGTCGATGTGATTCATGGGAATCTGGTGAGAGCAGAGAAGCTGAGAAAACTGTGGCCATTTTCAGATCATTCCTTTTCAAACTGCAAGTTAAAATGTCTGTGCTTTCCCTTTTTCGCGATGAGAATTCAGCTTGCCTAGCTTTCAAGGATGAGTTCATTAAAACTGCAAGGCATTTGAGACAGTCTCATGCTGCTTTTATACCAGCACTTCACAATTCCAGCACAGTGACTTTATACCAGTGCTGAAAACAGCTTTCTTTCCAGCCTGCTTAGGGAGGGTCAGCAGAGCCATGGGCTCTCCCCATTCTATGGAGCTGATATGCATTTTTGGTGGTGCTTTTATTCAAGCACTGTTAACTGTGTACTTAAGATCTCAATAACACTGTCTTCCCCGTATCTGACTGCTTTTTTCCCCTCCCACAGGCAAATTAGCTCCTGTTCTTTGCTTCCTGCTGGAAGACACTCCTGAATAAACAATTTCCCCTTGCATACCTGGCTCGGTTTGCTAAAATTGTGAGAAAGCTTTTGCCTTAAGATGACCAGATTTTGGCAACAAGCAGCCGAAAAAGGAGAATTAATACAGATAAGAGAGCGTAGGAAGGAACGATAGCTCAGATGAAATGGAAAGTTTTTTCAGGAGCCTTTGTATTCCTCACATAACCCCACCTTCTTTTGCGCTTTTTCCCCTTCCACTATCCACTTGCACTGCAGTGCAATACATGTATCCACTCTGGAGTAGAAGCCTGTTTTTAGGAGACGACATGATCCAACTGAATTGAGTCTTGGTGAACTCAAAATGGTAGCGAAGCTTGCCAGGGTCACCCACAGACTCCTAGGCACTACTGGGGCCACAGCCAGCAGAACGTGACCGTTACCCTCTCAGGCTTTACTTGAGAGCCCTGTTGCAGAGGCAGCTTCAGGCAGAAAAATCAAAGTTGCTCACAGCTGCCCTATGGTGTTTCATGCTGCAAAGACAAGTGCCCGATGACAGTTGCTGCCTCGAAAGTTTTTCAGAACAAGTACACGCTATGTGGACTAAAAGATGACAAGTGCTGGGGACACAAGGGATGCTATTCCCAGATCTTGCTTCCAACCTTCCTCACCCTGTCATATAGTTTTAAATTTGAACATGCAGGCTCTGATAAGACCAAAATTATCCTCCAGTTTGTACTTCAGTTTCAGCTTTCACAATACAGCACAGCACAAACTGCTTGTCAGAACAGTCCCATCAAACCCCGTCTACCATCTCCCCAACCCTGCTGTTCAAAATGCCAATGCAGTTGTCCATTTGTACATGACAAAGGTTACGATACATGCAAGAAACAGTTCCCAAACCTTAATAATAATTTCTACCCTAACCCTATCCTTTCAATCAGTCTTATTAAAACACAAGCAGAAAAAATGAGTGCATAAAACTTGCAGTCTGAGGTTTGGTAATGACATGACCAGAATCTGTTGGAAGACTGCAAAGTTAAGTCTCACAAAAACATCTAGACAAATTACTTAATTTCCATACAAGTTCTCCTCTTCCAGAGTGGATGGACACTTCAAAAGACAAAAAGATACAGCAAGAATTATTTTTCTCCACTACAAATAAAGCTGTTTGAAGAATTTACATAAACAGGATGTAAATGCCAAACACAGAAGTGCAATAAAGTTTTACTTTAGCCTCTGTGAGCATAAAATTGCAAGATTCACACTGAGAAACCAGGCAGGGCACCAAACTGACTTACCTAGAGATCTGTCAGTTAGTCCAGGAAATAAATGCTGCTTTTTTTTTTTGTTCAAAAACTGAACTAGAGATACGGGCTGGTACTAGATGATCTCAACAGAATCCTGGCATCTGTAGGCTATTAATTACTTTTGTGCTCCCCTCGATTAAGGGTCAAACCAGGCTTTTGTTAACCTGTAATTGGGTCAAAACCTTCCGTACCTTAAACATCTGGTTCCAGCGTCTCACACGCCGAGAGGATGGGGCATAGCTCAGACCTCAGGAAGTTAATTAACATCGTGTCAGGGGTGGTGGTGGGGGGGGTCTTAAGGGAGGGAAAGGGGGTTGGTTCGAGGGAGAGGAGAAACACAGCATCCCCAAAATGTCATCCAAGCCGACGCAGAGCGAAGTGGCAGGCTTCGCGGGGCCTCTAGTGGCCGCGACTGGGAGCGCGACGGGACCGGGTGGGGGGAGCGGGGCCCCGACGAGACCCCCACCGCCTGGGCTCTGCCCCGGCCGGGGCAGCCTCACGTCAGCGTCCGGCGGGCGAAGGCTCTGAAAAGCAGTTTTTAAAAAGTTTCCGACAATCCTGCTGTGTGTCCTCCCCCCCCCCCCCCCCAAAACTAAAGGGGCTTTTGAACGCTTGTCACAGGTAAGCAAACCCAGGGGCTACAGCCCCGCACTCCCCCCGGTTGCTGTGCCAAGACACGAAGGGCAGCTGCGGGGCCGTCCCCTCAGAAGCAGCTGCCATTTCAGAAGCGTGATCGGCTGTTTTCCCCCCCCCGCCCCATTTATAAACGCACCGTAGCCAGGAGGATAGCTCTGTTTTCCTAAGAGTTCCGAATTCACTTGGTGGGGGTGTAGCACCAGTTTAAACCGAGCTTGCAGTCAGCTGAAAACCGAGCGCTGCACCGCTGAGACAGAGAGCAGAGACCGCTTCGAAGAAACCATAAATAGCGTTTGGCAGACGTTAAAGATCACCAAGGGAGTCCAAAACTAGAGGGTGCGCCTGGAGAGGACTTCAAGAAAAAAGGTTTAGCCAAGTAAAGCCCACAGACACCGAGATCATGAAGACCATCAGCCAAAATTATTTGGAACAAATTTTTGTCTGAAAAGTAAAGCCTATGTGAACACTAACTAAGCTTTATTTGCAAAGCTTCTGCGTGTATGAATGTATGAAGAAAGTAACTCAGCTCCTGCTGATTTTCTAAACTATTTCATAACCACTTACTTTTAAAATCCACCATTTGCACCAGCAGCTAAGTAATTCCAATAAATCAAGATCAATCAGCAAAGATACTTTCAATTCAGGAAATGAAATTACTTCCTTCCTAATATGTACTGCATGTTTATTAGCTGGGTTATAAACTACCAAACATACTACTTAGCATTAGTGAGTAAGGAACGTACTTTATTTTTCTCTTTTTATACCCTAGTGGATGTACTTCTGTGGGTAATATATATCTAATTTTTTTTTTTTTTTTTTTTACACTATCAAGTGCAGCTTTTCCATGCTAAGCTTGTTAAGGGATATGCAAAATGGATTCAAAATAAGAGCAAGTCAAATTCACTTTCTGCTGTTTTCATTTCACTTACACCATGCTGTAGAACTCGCCCCAGTGCAGAAGGCCCAAAACAACTTTATCACCTAACCCCAAGATAATATTTATGCTAACTTTTATATAAAATTCTCCATAACAACTGTTACTCAGCCAAAGTGTGTTCACAAACAGACTATGTCAGTAGCACCATCCCCTTTGCAGGTGTTGTTCAAATTTAAGAATTATACTTAGTCCTTACCTGGAATGCTGAGATTCCTGTATGAATTTCTAAATTGCTTTGAGTAACTTTTCAAATATTCATTTATTTCGGGGGGGGGGGAACCCAAAAGCAAAACAGTAAGAAAGTGCCAGTCTGGAAAAAAAAGACAAAACAAGAGAACAACCTTAACCTACTAGGTTAAGCTTACAGTAAAATGGCCCCAAAGTTCCCATTGGTTTGAGAAACTGTCCTCCTCCGTGCACAGTGACTCTTGAGCAGGATACAGAAGAGAAAAGAATGTCAACAAGGACAGAGCAAGCCGGCCAGCTTCTGACAGCGTCCCCAGCTTTACAAACAACAGTCTTTGACATTTTCAGCTATTAATTTGTCTAATCACTGTGTAGTCTCTAGACTACATAAACAATGTTACACAGAAAGCTAATACGCAGATTGCAGTACTGAATTGTTTGCAGTTAATTTATGGATTATGCTGGCATGTCACTGAGTTTGTTTTTCACAGAAGAAAAAAGGCTTTGGCTCCATGCAGAAAAATGAGCTTCTAATGACAAACCCCATGCAAAAAGGGGCAGTACCACTTACCTGCTCTGTACTATGCAGATCTTGGAAGATGTTTCAACACTGAACTTGTTTCTGCACATTTCGTCTCAGCAGAGCTCAGTCCCAAAGAGGTCAGCTGGCAGGGAATTTAACACAGAGTAGTGCAAAACAATACATTTTATTTGTTCACAGTTAAACACAAGCAACTGCCTTGACATTTTAGAACATTCTAATAAGGACAGCAAAACCTCCTTTTGGTTTAAGTTCTCTTTAGCTTACGATTGTACCATTTCCTCGTATTTCATATTTATGGCATTTAATGTGGATTGTTTAACATGCTTACAAAGAGCGAGGCAGGGAACAGATTAACTTGACAAAGACAGCAATTTTAGATTTAACTAAAAGCAGTCAGTTAAAAAAATCTGTTTCCACTTCACTGATGGGACCCCTTCAAACGAACTGCAAGTTAACTACATACAGCAGATCCATGATTTTTAGACTTACAAAAAAATTGCTAAATTTGTTCCTCCATAATCTTTGTGGTCCATAAACAAACCTAAAGTGGTTTCCATTACTATCCCAGTGTTAAAAACCTTTTTAAAAGAAGAAAAAAGCCACCTTATCAATGAGCTTGCATTACCGCCAGGGCATTTTTGTAACCGACAACAAAAACCTCCTCTCAGAACAAGTGAAATCATCATATAAGCAAGATACTCTTCTGGGCTCGGCAAAGCAGAAGGATGGGCGAATGAACTCCTCCAACACAATGGCATCCAACGGCTGAGCCAGCCCTTCAAGGGCAATGTGCAAACCGTTCACTCCTGGGGCTGGGACCCGGTGGGGCAAGGGGCAGGAAAAACCTCCAAATCTTACCGAAACATACGCTACCACGTTTGCTACCGCTAAGTCTTAGAAAGCCTATAGACATGTCGACAAAACCAGTCTGTCACTTACAACCAACTCTCTATTTTCTATTCCATGCAGATTCAAGCTTTGACAAAACCACTGAAGTTCACCTTTACTTTCAGAGTTAGGACTGACCAACCGAAAGGACACTGAGAATAATTTAGACAGGCAGAAATGTATTTAGACCCTAGGTGTTATGGAAGAAGCGGAAGTGGGAGGAAAAGTACTGTCAGGCACAACTTAGCATATTGCCAGCCACTTTGACAGAGTCCTGTTCCTATTCAGGTTAAGAAGGGATTTGAACTACAGGTGCAAGTGTACTTGGACTTGATTTATTTGTGAGACAAGTCTTAAACAGCAGCTGCCACCCACAGAATGTTTAAGAAAAGAGGCCACATGTGATGCAGGGTAACTGTGAAGCCTGATATGTCTAAGTATGCCTGGACCCAGACATATCAAACATTTAAAACAAGCACACTGCCTTCCCAACAGCGGGCTCTGTTCTGTCACGAAGGAGATTGAGTCTGACCACTGACAAGCCCTGATCCCACAA